TCGTCTTTGAAGACGGGGAAAATCTAAAGCTTTCTAAATTAAACACTGACAGCAGGGTTTTTAGTCTCATGGTATCAAAAAGATGAAAACTGCTCATGTAGAATTACAGCACAAATCAAGAGTCAAAACCAGCACGATCATACTTAACATAGACACGTTTTTCATCTCACGGTTTGTACGTTCAGTAACAAGCAACAGGGGCCCAACGTGAGCAAGAAGCAGGATGTAAGGGACGGCTCTCCTCAGGGGCAACGGGAGGTTATTACCGTCATGACGTCCGAAAAATAATTCGTTTATTCTGCATTTATTAGCCATTTTTTCAGTTTCAACCTGATGGGCTGCTTAAGCTCTACAGGCTCCTAATCAGTGCGTGTACACTGTACTGCATTTTTCTAATGATATAAGCAGCCAGAGTACTGCCTGCATGCACGAATGCAGCAACTGATTAGAAATTCTTGCATTATCCAGTTGGACACATTTGCATTTTATTCTTGGGTTGATGAGGTGGGTGGAAAAAGGAACACACACACGTTTTCTATCGTCTCACCATTACGCCAACACACATGCTGGAGAGGACTCACGCTGCCCACCTGAGTCAAAGTGCCATTTCAACAAGTGCCCACTTAAATCCACCTACATACAGGTTCTGAGGTGCAACTTACCAAGGCGTCCTTGAACACAGTATTATAACACCAGAACAGTCCATGTGACTCGTTTGTTACCCAACAGCTCACATTTTCCTAATGTTTAATAAAGTTTTGACTGAAGCGCTGACCACAGAGCTTCATCACCATGGTGTGCATCAGCACTTCCAGCTGTCACGTCTGTGTCTTGACGTCAGTATTAAGATCTGTCTCAGCATGAGGCGCTCAAAAGTTAATCAAAACAATAAAGGAATACAATTACACTTCAAGTAGAGTTGTTTGATTTGAGCTTTGCTCTTCATTATTATTATATTTCCACTGGTCCAGTCATATTAAGCATAATGTGAAGGACCTGCAGCATCTGTTAGAAGCACTGGTGACATAAATCATTGTTATTACACTTTAATAGAAAGACTTGTTCTCTCGAGGTCAAAGGTTGGGTATCACGTGTAAACTAACTGTACTGCCTGTCTGATAACAGTCATATATCAGATCTCTCAATGCGACCCTGTAATGTTTAATTACACTACGTATAACGCGTTAACCCTTCTCCACGAGTTTGCAACTGTTTCATCCTTCTCACAGATTTCAGCTTTCACTTCCTTTTTTCACTCTGATCCAGAAATCTGCAGCTTCTGCTAGTATTTTATTTATTTTGAACAAGATAAAAAATAAAGTTTACTCACTGTGGACTTCAGAGTCATTTACTGCAGGATGATATCACACCTGTGCTATGGAACACTAACCAAAAGGCAATATGTGGATATATGCATGTTATAAATAATATG